TCCCTTCCTTTTTCCTTTTTTTCTTTTTCCATTCCTTCCTACATTACCTATAAACTTGCCTGTTTAACTTTAAATTCCTTTACAAAGAAATTGCTATATCAAATCCATCTGTTACTTACTAGCTGTGTGACTTTGGGAAAGTTCCTTAACCTCTCTGCTCTCTACTTAAACATCTAGTAGAAAAATGGTTTTTACATTTTGAAAAGATGGTGAGGGCAAAAAAAAATAATATAGGCGAACACATACAGCTCACAAAGCCTACTCTGCCTTCTACAATATGAGGTACATGGTGTTGTCTATAAGTTGTCTTTAAGACAAATACAGCCTGAATCTGATGAAGTTTTGAGATCTTTCATTTGGCAGGCAGTAGAAGGGAGAATGGAAACAGCTAAATGGCACCACTTGCCCCTAGTGGATGCTGCACTGGGCCACCAGGATGCCCCTGGATTCCCCGGATTTCTGGGACTGAGCTCTTGGTGCATCACAGCTGAGCTCCTCTCCAGGAATTGCCCTCAGCTACAAGGAGTGGCCCTGCCCAAGGTTACCACCCCTCGGTGGGGATGGCCCATACTCAAAGATTCATTGATAAGAGGATCGCTTGCCTCATCTGGGGACCCCTCTGAAGGACCATCCAGCGTCACACCTTCTCTGCTACTGCAATGGCAGTTCAATTTCTCCCTCCGCCTAAGCCGGGCTCTCACTCGCAGATGATGATCATGAACACCTTCCCCAATAAACTACCTGCAGACAAACTGCCATCCTAGGGCCTGTTTTCCAGAGAACACGACCTAACGCCATCCCTCTAGTCTACTCCCAACATAACAGCTAGAGTTATCCTATTCAAAGTAAGTCAGATCATTACCCCTTGTTGAAACCCCTCCAATGGATCCCATCTCATCAGAATCAAAGCCTTGCCATGTGCACCCCAGTCCCGTTACCTTTTTGATCTCATCTTTTCTGCCCCTTGATCACTCTACCTGCACCGGCTTCTTTGCTGTTCCTCACACATGCCAGGCATCCTGCTGCCTCCGGGCCTTTGTGCATACAGTTCTGTCTTCCTGGAATGCTCTTTGCGGCGTTATCTGCACTGCTTCCTCCCTCGCCGACTTCTTATCTTGAGTCAAATGTTGCCTCGGGGAGGACTTCTGGTCCCTTCTACTTAAGCCCGCCAACCCTAGCTCACCGCAGACCTCCCCATCCCTCATTCCTGCTTTAGTTCTCTCCACAGCAGTATCACACTGACACACAATATTTTGTGTAAACAAGTCAAAAAAATTGACTTGTTTATGGTGTTTGATATCTGTCTCCTCCACCAGAATGCAAGCTCCGTGAAGGCAAGGACTTTTTTCCTGTTCTTTTAACTGGTATCCCCAGAGCCTGCAATAGTAACTGGTACATAGTAGTTGCTCAATCAATATGTATTGACTGAGCAAATGAGTGAATGAATGTGAGACTATGGATGTGGCATCAGAAGACCTGTGATCCTTAGTGAAGTCCCTTAAACAGCATCCGATTTTCTTCAAAAGAATAATGGGAACAATTCAAAATCATTTTTATAAGGATTATGCAACATACTATCTGTGGAAGTGTCATATAATAAAGTGCTAAATAAGTAAGGTGTAATTTTTACTTAAACTGAATTCTTCATCAGCGAGCTACTTAATTTTTATAACCTAGAGCTACCACGTTGGCAAAAAAAAAAGTATACAACTTTCAGACACAGAAAACTCTGAAACTGGTCTGGTGTTCAAATAAAATATAAAAAGATTTATTCCAAAGCCATATCCAAAATGTACAAACTATGAAATGCATCACTTTTAAAAACTTAATAAAAAGAGCAGTCTTTACATTGTAAATTTTACAACATTTGAAGATTTCTTTTGCTACCATAAAAGTCTAATAAAGTTAATTCCATAAAGTGTCAAATGTACTTTCTTGTTTATATAAAACATATTCTCTCTTTGGACGCAAAATATTCAGATATAATAGTTCTATTATGAATTTGTTCTCAATTTCCAAAATTCTTGGTAGTCTATTACTAGTGAGTAAATAGAATCACATTTCCACATGCATCTTTAAATGAGGTAAGAAGATAATTTTTTCAGGTGTTTATCTCTGACAAGTGCAACATGTCTGGACAATTCCTTTCATGAAATATCTTCCCAGTGGGGATTCATCATTTTGCACAAAGAACAGTAGCAATATCACTCATTTAAAAATTCGTATGTTGTAATTCTTTTTATAAAAATTTAAGGTTCAAATCAAAGCTATTGCTACAACAATTCACTATTTTCTTTGCAGATATTTTCATAGCTATTCCTAAACTCTAGAAGACTGTTCATAATCCTTTAAAGCAGGGGCAGCAAACTTTTCTGCAATGGTCCAGACAGTAAATATTAATATTTTAGGTTTCTCAGGTCACTTCTCTGCTATACATGCTTTTTTTAAATAACTCTAAAATGTAAAATATATATATAGGCTGTGCTATAATCTGCTAGTTTTTAAAAGTAAACTTTAAAATATAGAGTCACTAGTATTTAAATTAGACTACTCAAGTGTTAATAAAATGTAAACGTTGCCTTTCGCAGTAAAATAAATCCATGATTTTTGACTGCTAAATAGAAAGTTGATCAACAGTAAGCAATGAATTCCATTCAAAGAGTGGACTGCATTTTAGATATGCTTTTCCATCAATGGCATTTTCTATGGCTTTTCATTTTTAATTAATTCACGTGTCTTTTTTGTCTTTTTTTTCTTTTTTTTTTGTCTTTGCTTTTTTATAGAGAAAAATTTCCTTCGTGTAGCTAATTTAAAGTTTGCAAAATCAAATACTGGAATACTTTATGCTAAAAGAGGTAGATGCATACACATAGGTACATGCAGTTACAATGCACAGTGGAAACCACTATTTGAAGGGCCGGCCGAGTGGTTCAGTTGGTTAAGAGCTCGCCCAAGAGTGTGAGTTTTGAGCAACAGGGTCACCAGTTCGATTCCCACATGGGCCCGAGCTGAGCTGCCGATGAGCTGGTTGGCAGGATGGCTCAGCTAAAAAAAAAAAAAAAGAAAGAAACCACTATTTGATATATAAATGCTCTCCACAGTGAGGTGGAAACCAGCGAGAAGGTAGACAAGACAGTCCTAAAAAGTGTTCTAATTTGTTTCTATCATGTGTAGTTGTACAATTTGGGAAAACATGATTTGCATACAGGAAACATGTTTATATAAATTAATACAGCAGCATGATTCATTCGGGCTTTTGATGCATAGAACCCAGAGCTGACTAAAATGATAGAGCAGAGAATTCAGTAGGACTTAGTGTGGACTCTGATAGAGTAAAACTGATCTGTTTATAACACTGTTTGATCTATAACATGGTCCTATAGCTGAGAATCACAACGGTGTGTGGGTGTGTGGGTTACCATCTCCTTTTCTACCACAAATAGTGCTATGAATAAATTATGGCAAATAAGTGAGCCATTGTGAATTTACTCAGATATATCATAAACCATTTGGAAGCCTCTAGAACTATAATCCCACAGTATTCTACAAAAATATTTACAAAGTCTGAAGCTAAGAAAATTGAATACTTTGGTATCCCTAAGAGGGGAGCTCAACTACATCAGCAAGCCCATGCCTGTGTTTGAAGTATAAAAAGTAAAGTTCTCAGTGCAAAAATAGTATCTTGATAAATAGCAATAACACAAAAATCCCACGAAACAGTTAAAGACTATAAGGCCCATAAGTAATATCCTAAAGGCATGGCTTGGTATAGAAAAACAAATTTGGGGCTAAGAAATACCAGTTGTTTTACTAATTTAACTGTGAGTGGGTGGTGCAGCGTTTAAACATTCCCTTTTTGCAAACAGACTCAACACATTCACAGCTCATCATGTTTCTTCTTAAATGGCCACTTTGGGTGTTGTGATACATGGTCTGCAGCCTGAAGGACGAGGTACATAAATTCTTCCACATCAAAAGAGTAGTTGGTAAATTTCGGATGTTCTCCCAGAGTTGGGTGGTGGCCCTGCAAAAACAAAACAAACACAAATTTGTAATTCACTGAGAACATGGTTTTCTGAACAGGAAAAACAATTATTTTACTTTGGCCAAAGCAACTATTTTATTTTAATTCATGCTCTACCTCAGAGGTCAGAAAATTTTTTCGGTAAAGAGCCAGTTAACACCTATTTTATGCTTTGTGAACTATGTAGTCTCTGCCACAATACGCAGCTCTGTCATTGAAGGGCACACGCAGCCACAGATTACACATAACGAGAAAAACTATGTCCCAATAAAACTTTACCTATAAAAACAGGTGGTGGGCCAGATTTGCCCCCTGGTCTACAGTTTGCTGATCCTTCCTACATACAATTTAATAGATGGCTCTAGGCCCAAATTCATAAAGTTGTCTTTTTAACATTACAATTTGCAAGTATGAGATACAACTCACTATTCCAGAGAACAGTTTATCTTTGAAGTCCAATGATAGTTTTTCATATTAATAATTAAATACTTTAAATCAATTAAAAAGCAAAACAAGATGAGTTTTGCCATTGAATTTTACCTTATCTTGAGGAAAGACTTTGTTCTGTCTTTTCCAAGTGATGTAGTATACGCCCCTCAGCCTAGCCAAGTCCAGGTAACAGCGCCCGTCTTCACAGTTGTACCTAAGGAGACACGGGCACATGCATGAGACTTTTGCCTGAGATTCTGCCCAATCCACAATCCTCTGGGCAAAAAAAATGCACCTTCCATATAGGTTCTTGCAAAAGATTGTGTAAACAGTAAACAAGACTGAGGGAGATTATTTTTTAAATATTCTCATAAGTAGACTGCCTTAATTTTTAAAAAACAGAAGAGAATGGAGGAGACTGACCACTATCAATAGGGCCGACTGACTATGAACTTAACATTATCTCATAATACCCATCTTTGCACATATGGAAGTGGACTTGGGGTAGGTAACACATCCAAGGTCACATAGCTAGCGAAGCATAAATTGAACCCATGTCTGTTGAACTCCAAGGTCTGAGCTTTCTCCAATACATTTCTCTACTTCCTCCTTCCTTCCTTTCTTCCCTCCCGCCCTCTCTGTCTCTAGGAGAAATGAAGAATTGAGATAGAATCCACAATTACCTGGCTATTTCTCTAACATCTCTATATTTTTTTAATGTTTTTGCATGGCATTGGAAGTTCAGAACAACTTTTTTCTAAATAGTCTTCCATTTAAATACCAAGTCATTTTTCAAGTGAAACCATAAAATCAAGATATTTAGATGCAAAGGAGGGAAATCTGGTAACACGTGGTGTGTCAAGTACTAAAGATAGGACATGGTGTAGAAT